AAAATAAGATCTTAAGCTTAGCTAATAAAAAAAAGCATGCATAATATAAGAAAACAAGGAAAAATGGTAATTAAAAATCCTAAAACAGAATTATTAATGGTCATGCTCGCCAATAACTTATTGAAAAAATTATGATCAGTAACTTATGTCGATTCGAAACTTTCATTGCCAGCATAATATGGGATTAGGAAAATGTTCATTTATATGTAAGAATCGAAAGAATGGTAGAAATAATACTGTAACAACTATATTATATATATTATGTAATATATTATTATATATATATATTGTAGCTTGTAACATTTCAATATTTTGTATCGTATATTGTAAATTTAAATATTATAAAATGCTTAAGAGCTGAGTAATTCAGTTTTACCGAGCATCGAATGTCCAGCAAATGAACGAGAGTAAATTTGTATATCACGGGAGATAATAGATAAAAAGCATTTGTAGTTTTCAAAATACTTTGGCCTAAATCCAACTACAATAAGGCATACTAAAGTGACTTGAATTTCTTCACTTACTACTTAAGAAGTTCTATGGTGGTTCCAAAATACTCATTTGCGATGTAAATCGAAATTGACTTGAGAAGCAATGATTATCTGAAAAAAGATTAAAAACAAAATTTTTATTTGTTATATAAAGTAGGTATTTCTTCATTAAATGGGGATGATCTAAATAGACAGGTCACGAGCAGATATCGTATACTTCCATATATACACTTACAATAAATTAATCTAGTACTAACTAGCAGCTTGAGCAAAAACACAATTACTCGTTTTAATATCTTAAAGCCGATATATCGAATTTCCAAGTTTTTTAATAATTTAAACATATGTAACGACATTATATTTTGATTACGGAAATAATTTTCTCTCTTTTTCACGTAAAACTACAAACATTTTACAATAAAATAAAAAATACATGAAAATATCTTCATTTTTGAAAGAAATATGTTAATTTTAACAGATAATGATGCGATTAAAATCCCATAGTTTTCTATATATTTTTAGACGGTGTACGGAAAATTTATAAAATATTATAAACAATAACGTGATATCTCCGATTGGGGTATTAATCCACAGCTTTACGATTTTCGTTTTTTGATATATCAATATATTCGTTAAAAGAATAGATTTATTATCAGTGTTATTTTGCAATCCAGTGAAAAGTTAATTATCTTCACCAGTATTAAATTTATTATAATAAAAAGAATTACAAAATTACATTGGCTATAAAATTTCAATATTTACTTACTAATAATATTCTACAAAAGAAGTGTATTAGTGTCTTGATCATCTTCCATGAAGCACTAACTCTATTACGCAATAATTATTCATTAAATAAAAGGGGACAATAAATTGAATTCGCTAATATCTATTGTTTGTTTTATATGTAAATACAAATAACTGAAATAACAGTATAACACAAATATTCCATCCCATAAAAATAACACGTTACATAAATTCCGTTACGCGAGACTCAGAACAGACGAAGTTAATTAACGAAATTTTTTTTACATTATTAAAAATTTTTTTTATATGATATAAAAAGCCACTAACGTGACTAATAAATATAATTTCTGTTTTATCTATATAATCCATATAAGTTAACATACAAAAGAAATTTTTATTTCATGCACATAACGCATAAATATTTTCAACAAAATAAAATAAAATAAGTGAAAAGATAAAAATCTAACAATTTCAATACCATGTTATATCGTTATAAGGGTGTTACCTGTAAAGTTTATGTGACTATAAAAAAGAAGTTAAATAAAAATTAATACGAACAAACAATGACTCTAAGATTGTTTTGCGCGCAACCTATTCAAGTACACATGTTCCTCAAAATTAATTGAAATCGCAAACCGTAAACAAATTTAAATAAACACAATCAACTTCACAATTCTGCTTTTACTTTATTGAAATAAGAATCGACTCATCCATGGCTGCACGAACAACTGCACAATAAGATCTGATATAAAACGAAAGCAATATTACTAGTATCATTATTATAATAAAGAAAACTTAAAAGTATATGTATACTAAGTAAATAAAAGAGGTTACTTGAATTTTTATTAATAAAAACTAATTGAAATAAACAAAAACAGCGAAGTTTGCTTTCACCTTCCGACGCGAACACATCGAAACTCTTTCTTTCCGAACAGAAGTACTTATAAATTAATATTTTCGATAAACTTTTAATTATTTAAACTATCTCTAGTGTACGTCGGATAGAGTAAAGTAATATTTAAACAATAGTATATATTTTAATATAAAATACGAATACTTCAAAAATCTTATTTCTCAATGGCTGTGGGAGCGGAAGAACCTAGTGGAGTCAACGACGAAAACAAATCATTTCAGACTAACAATCTGATCTTACTTTGGAATTTTATTCCTACTAGTGTAATACACAATTTCAATTGCAGAATGGAAAATTCGTTGAAATAAAGCACTACCACAGGTGGCAGCTCAGAAGAGAATTCCACCTTTGGATGGCCATTACTACTTAAGAAGTTCTATGGTGGTTCGGATGGTGGCAATGCATCGGAACCTTAGGTTCTGGGGAGTCCCAACATCTGCAATAAGGATGAGTCGGAGCATTCTTGGAATCCTTCCAGACTTCAATTTAAACAGAAGTTTTTTGCGGACACTTTAAATGTAAATTCTTTACTGAAGGTTACAAAGGAATTTTAAACCTTTGCGAAGATAAACAAAAGGAATTAGAACTACTTCTAGATAGAAACGATATTCAAATTTTAGCAGTACAAGAGACAAGATTTTTGGATAAAAATGTGACAGAAACAAAAGATTATAGAATCTTAAGCCTGCGATTAAAATTATGAAAGGAATGCCACTCTTGGGAACAGCCTTTTATATCCATAAAAGATTATTATACAGTGTAACTGAATTCAAATCTCGCTCAGAAAGGATGTCTCTTTTGACAATAAAATGCAAAAATAAATTATATACTTTTATTAATTGTCATGCACCAATAAATGAAGACAACAAGAAGAACCCAAATAAAGTAGAGGAATTCTGGGACCTCCTGGACGATGAAATGTCTAAAATTCCAAAATCAAATGTAGTGATATTATTTGCAGATTTCAATGCAATTTTGCAATTTTTTGGCCATATTTACAGAATGGATGATTCCAGATTAACAAAAAGGATACTCATGTACCTATGGGAGAAAAAGGCAACAACTAGCTGGATTCAAGAGGTAAAGAAAGATCTAGAAAGAAATAATATAAGTGGGGAAGAAACTATATGCAGAGAGATTTTTAGAAAGAGGGTATTAAGTATGGAAGGATTCCAAGGAAGATTAAAGAAGAAACCTGGTGCGAAGTGGTATGAGGATAGGAAGAAACAGCATAGTGAAAAGATAAAGGAATATTGGAGGGAACGGAAAAGAAAACAGCTAAGTGTGAAGAATTGAAATTGGAACGTGGTCCCTAGCAGGCCTCATCGAAAGAAGAAGAAGAAACAAAAACAGCACGAAATAAAAAGGAATTAATAATTGCGGTTTATTTAATAATGATAATTATCCTAAAATAAAATAAAATAAAATTTTCGATGAATAATCATCAAGAAAATAATATTACTTATGTACCTCTATTTGTATTGTATTTGTATTGTACCTTGATCATATTACTGAATAGTGAGAGGGAAGTCACCTTCCCTGATTATCATGTGAAAACAAAACAACTTTCCTAAAAAATACCAAGTAAAATAGAACAATAGAAAGTTCGTCCTTAATGTATGTTCTTTTATTACAATTTACTTGAAAATTTTAAAACCACACATTTAACTTAATTTCGGCTACAAACGAAGAGCAGTGAAAAATAAACCTACGTTTCTACTGTACCGTGTATAGAGCTTCGTCGATTCGTAGAATATCATGTATTATAAAATGAAAGTGTTTTACTAATATAAATCAAATATATATATATATATATATATATATATCTTTTATTGATTATGAGAGGTGATAAACGAAAATATGTTTCTCTGTGCACAAAGAAACGACAATTTACGTTTATTATTCACACTGTTTAAATTTTATACCACACTCCCGTGCTACTTCTCTCTTCTACGTTCTATTTCTAACTGCCCGTTTCTCTTCCAAATCTTAACGGCTCGATTTGTAGGTCACAAAAGAATTTGTAAATAACAAAGGACAATGGAAGGGCGGGCCATGAGAAGCGTGGCAAATCTGCTTGAAGAAAGTATACTTTTTTTACATATACACATACACACGAATTATATATATATATCAGGGTTTAGAGGGAATGATTGAAACAATTGATCTCACAAAATAATTTAAAGAGTATATATATACATATATATACATATATATATATATATATATATATATATATATATATGTATAATAGTGCTACTAACGGTCCGTTCGACAACACAAAATCTTACAGAATGTCCTCTTTTTGTCTTTCAAGTCTTTTTTCAATCGTAACTAAGGCATTAAGGTGACTTAATGCCTGAATGTCTGTACCACGCGCTTGGCAATAACAATCCTGATATATGTATACCCGTATATATACGATTTAGAGGAAAGTCGAATATAATATATAATACATAATACAATCAATTATGATTAAATGACCTAACAATAATTACACAAATCACTATTAACCTAACAAAGAATACACATTACGACACATTACGAAAATAAGATCTGAAAATCTTAAAACAAGTACAACGCAATAAGCTCCACGATGGACATATCTAGATTACAATTTTATTTTCACGAATATATCTCAAATGCACACCTTTTTCTACTTGCAAATGCTACACCATAGAAATCACATGTTTAGCTATCGATTAGTATATTGAAAGAATCTGTAATTTAAAAGAAATAAAGTTGATTACTTGTAATCAATAGAACGACGAACTTCCTCGCAATCTGCGCCAGCACGTGCAAATATTAAGTGGTCTTGATAATAGCAGCAGTAGATGAAGTCTGTGGGTTCATCGTTGACAATCCATTATATAAAGAGAAACTTTGCAGATCAAGTAACAATTATGATGTTTATTTAGCTTTGTTCGGTGTGTAGTAGGTATAATTAGACTATGACCTCTAGCAGTTATGATTGTGCTCTCTAGAAGAATCGAAGAAAGAACAATGATTTTCTTTGTGTTTCCGGAGTCTTTTTCGTCACCTTTGTTTATTGTTTCCCGCGTGTACGTTTGGTGGCACCGAGACATGTTAGTTATGTATCTTGCCGGAAGAGGCGTAGCAAGTCCCACATATATAGCACCATCTTGTGAACATTTCGTACAATAGACCAAGGCCGCATTAATAGTTTGCAAATCATTTGCCTTTCCATCATATCTATTTGACTTCTTTATTTAGTCCGCGAAAGGAATAGTACATCCTGTAAATTTTGTAATAGTTTTAAAAAATATCAAAATTATATAGCTTTTTATCCGTATACGTTTTCAGTTATGAAAGTGATTATACGTCAATTTATCTAAAAGTTGTGAATACGTTCCTAAAGCAATCATCCTCATCGCGTACATTTGTTACAACAAATGAATATATAAGAACGAAAAATAAATCGAATAATAAATAAATTTATCTGCGTAATAATTTTCAATCTTTCTTATAAATATTTTGAAGAAGTAGTATTTATCTGTATCTATTCATTTTTATTTAAAAACGTTTATTAATATAGAATTTATAATTGAAATGAAATATTACGAATCGATAGAAATCGGAAATGATACGAAATGTTCGGCCGATTACTAAGTAGAAGAAAGTGATGCGACAAATTTGCAGCAAAGTAATAATTTTAAATAAATTAACAAAATAATCGAACAATAAAGGCTATTATATAAATCCTTCATTATATATATTTGTCTCGAAGTTTATTGTCTTACTCTTTTGAAAGAAATTAAATCCTCTAAAATCCAATTCTTTTTTCGTGTTTACAAACAAAATTACATATTGTATGAAAGTTATATAATATTATTTCTACTAGTACAATTATACTATATACTAATTGTAAGTATTACTTACATTTACGTTTTCATATTATATATAAAAAAAACTAAACAACAGAAAAAAAGAAAACTGGTTGTGCATCTATCACATAATGAAAGTGAAACTTCTTTAGTTAATTTAATTTTATTTAATATAGTTTTTCAATTTTAATCTTCCTTGTTATTCCCGTTTCAGCTGTTTTATCAGCAAGTTTTAAAAGTAAGAAGATAGAACAACAATGAAAGAGAGAGAGAGAGAGAGAGAGATTTTAAATAGTTATAAATTATATTAAAAATATTGAAAGTAACTTATTTATATAAAAGTATTGTTTCATTCTAATTCTATATGACGTGATCAAAAGCAGGCATCGGAACTGGAGGAATGATAATAAGAATTCGAAAAACAAAGGATGAATCAGGAAGATATTAGTAAGAAATGAGAAACAAAGAATGAGAAAGGTAAAGGAGCGAAAGCTTCATCCGCTCTCTTACGCTTAAGATAAACAATAGCTCGCAACTTATGCTCTGTTTCACTTTCTATCTCTCTCTCTCTATTCCTACTTCTGTATATCTATTTCTTTATCTCACTCTCTCTCCTATTTCTGTATATTTCTCTCTTGTTTTATTCTATTTCATTCTCGATAGTAACTATATTTAATTCGTATACATCAACTATGCTTTCAAAGACACAAACAATCTTAACATTATTGCTACGTGATTTAACATCACTCTTTTTATTTCACACGTTGTAAAATAAAGAACTAATTATCTTACAGAATATTTTTATTTATTTAATCAAACCTATAACTTCTGTGAACCTATAATGTATATAAGAATATTTCTTTTCCATTAAAAAAAGCATTTTCAATAAAATAAACACTTTCTTTATTTTAAAAAACTTTTGAATCTTTTTCTTAAAAATCAGGTGCTATTTTTTAATTGGATGTAATATGTGGTCGTTTTAACTTATCTTTTAGCGAATATGATGGAAAACAATTTTATATAAAATAGTTGATTCCTAGGCATATTTAATAAAATTAACACTAAGACTTTTTCATCTTTTGATTTCCAAGTATTCTGATTATCTTGTGTCAGAAAATTTATTCCATTTATATACAACCACAATTTGTTGCAAATGAGGACGCTTTTTATCTGCAGCTTCCAGATTTATAATTTGTATCGCTCAAAGCTTTTTAACTTGATGCGTTAAGGCATAATAGCCATGTTCTTTTTACTCTTTTTATTCCACAATGTAAAATATATTCTTATGCGTTTTTATGCGTTTCCTATCTTTATTTTAATTCGACTGCACATTTGGGCTCATAATCTATCAGGTTATGACGAAGAAAATGATTGTATGTGATGAAATAACACTTAAAAACTTGTAAGTAATGCGAAAAAAGTACATAACTTAATGTGATACGTGATTTTGTTGCCAAAATCATCAACTAACAAAATCGTGATAATAATATTAGGATGCATATGAGACATATGAATACTATAGAGAGTGCTTTGATCAATACAACTTAAATTGATTTGCAACAAAAAAGAAACTACGAGGGTCGCTACGTGTTCGTTTAGTCACGTCATTAGAGCCTTGTTTGTCACTCTAGGCACGAATTATTTTTAGATTCTTGACAACAGGTAAATATAACAAATTTTTAAATTAGGCGAATATAAATATATTAAACAATTAAACAAAGTTTTATATATATATATATATATATATATATATATATATATATATTATCTCAAATTGATTATGGGAGGTGATAAACGAAAATATGTTTCTCTGTGAACAAAGAAACAACAATTAACGTTTATTATTCACACTGTAAAATTTTATTTCTATTATATTATAGATCTTCTTATAAGTCTCGTGTTACTTTTCTCTTCTATGTTATATTTCATACCGCCCGTCTCTCTTCCAAATCTTAACGACTTGATTTGTAGGTCACATAGGTCACAAAAGAAATTGTAAATAATAAAGGACAATGGAAGGGCGGGCTATGAGATACGCGGCAAATCTACCTGAAGAAAGTATACTTTCTTTACATATATATATATATATATATATATATACATGTGTATATATTATATATGTACATATAGCAACAATTATCTCCTTGTAATAAACTCTAAACCTGAAGTACAAATAGATGAATAAATAAAATAAGATAGAATAAATATTATTCTTTTAATATAAATATATGAAATAAAAAAATTTAATATTTGAGGTGATCTAGAATTACTCCGTGACGAAGCAGATAGTGTAGAATGATATAAAATATTCAGTACTTAATGATATAAATTCCAACACTGTTAATTCATTTCCATTTGCTTTTATAGCTCCAGTTGCATTTGGCATTATTTTTTTTCTATTTTCTTAAATGTTAAAAACTAATATTTAACCTTAACATAAGTTTATTATCATTGTATATCCGTTGCCGTATCAAAGATAGAAAAAAGAGAAAAAATCTAAAAGTAATGGTTTAGTAATACAGGAAAGTATAATAGCAGTAGTTGTAGTAATTGTGTTAGGTTTAGGTTAGGTTAGAAATACGACGACGTATCATAATACATAATTAAGGTAACATGTCCCAAGTGATGTAGTAGAATAGCAGTTTTATGTGTTGTATCTTTCAACATGTTTTCTAAGGTTTCTAATTTCACCATATAAATTTTGTTAAATTTTGTTAAATTTTGTTAAATTTTGTTAAATTTTGTTATGCAGATAAGATTTTATTCTTGCAAAATTTAAGTTCTTCATAAAGTCAAATCGTTTTATATTTTTTTAATTTTTGAAACACAAATATAGAAGATATGCATTTATTGCAGAAATGCTTATGATTGTGAAAAAAATTGCCAGTGGCCACCAATGACTTCTCTTACATGAGTAATATTACATATACATATATATATATATACATATATATATATACATATATTCATATATATATATACATATATATATATATATATATATATATATATATATGTAAAGAAAGTATACTTTCTTCAGGTAGATTTGCCGCGCGTCTCGTGACCCGCCCTTCCATTGTCCTTTATTATTTACAATTTCTTTTGTGACCTACAAATCGAATCGTTAAGATTTGGAAGAGAAACGGATAGTATGAAATATAACATAGAGGAGAAAAGCAACACGAGAGCTAGAAGAAGATTCATCAGATAAAAGAAATAAAATTTAACAGTGTGAATAATAAATGTTAATTGTCGTTTCTTTGTTCACAGAGAAACATATTTTCGTTTATCACCTCCCATAATCAATCTGAGATATATATATATATATATATATATATATATATATATATATATGTATGAAGCATCGTCAAAGTAAGGGGAAAAAGATAAACACAGATATACTGGAATGATTATAAAATTTGCTAAAACTTCGCGTAATACGAGAAGGAACTTTGCTCTCAAGTGGAAATTACAACTTTCATCCGGTCCTACCTGCTTGAAATTAAATATTCGACCACACAGAAAAATGTGTACTACTTGCCTATCTATAATCTGTACTTAAAAAATAGCAAGAAGATCATTCCTATACACAAACTCCACGACTGTTTCTCATACAACCAGAGTGCAAAAACAAATAAGAAGTATGTCCCGAGGCACTTGCGATACCCTAACTCAAGCACGTATAATTCTTAATTAATAAGGAGTACGTACCAATTGCTATAATCGATTGTCAAGGCTAATGATTATTACGTAAATGACTAAAGCAAAAAGTACCAGTATATACTACAATAGTATATATGCACACTAGTAATATACGAGTATTTTCATGCAATATGTTGTCTACTATACAAAATGATATAAATAATAATATATTAGTATAGTAGTAGCACAAATAATTAATTAAACCGATGAAACAAGAAGATCCTATCCTAAACTAATAAAAATAAGAATGCACAATTGATATAAATTATTAAAAATATGCCACTTGCGAATAAATCCAAAAGAAGAATTGGTTATGATCATGCTCGTCAATAACTTATTTAAAAAATTACAACCAGTAACCTATGCCGATTCGGACCTTTCATCCTCGACATGAATGAGTACTGAAGGTATTTTAAATTTGTTCACCCACTACTTAAGAAGTTCTGCGATGGTTCTAAAACACACGTCTGCGATAGAAGTAAAAATTAAAGGATCCTTAGAAAGTTGAAAACAATGTAGTTCGATATATAAGTAAGTTGAAAATGAAGTAGCTCAACTTCGTTGTAGACTGATAAGATACGATCATAATGGTGATCAGTAAAAGGACAAACAAATTTTTATTAAATCTATATTAATAAAAAAATTGTGAAATTATTGGGTATGAAATTAAAAAATTTACTTACCAATATGCTCTTATAGAAGAAAATTTTTTTATTTCGTGATCATTTTCTTCAATGCACTGACTCTACTACGCGAATAGTGTAATATAAGAAGAAAAATAATTTTAAACTTTATAGGAACAAATCATAACTCTATGACTGACTGCTTTGCTCGCAGTCAATTTAACTGAATGTGATACTAAATCTTAAATCGCGAAACATGAATGAAATTAAATTAACAAACGAAGGATCCTTCTAATTCATGATTATTATATTATTCAAACGGTATAACACTCGATTCACTATCACCCGCATGATTGCATTGATTATCTAAAAAAAGAAAGAAAAATAAAATTATTATTATAATAACTTTGTTCTTCTTAATAATGAAAGATTTTTTAATGAAAGATTTTGTAATGAAAGATTTTTTAATGAAAGATTTTTATAATGAAAGATTTTTTAAATTATGAAGAAAATGTTTAAAAAAGAAATTTACTTATTGTAGACTTTGTTGATTCGTTGCACAATGAGCATCCTGCCTCAAAACGACGACAAATTATTCTTCTTTTATTGAACCTGAAAAGAGAAAACGAAATTATTAGTATCATTGTTATAGAATAAAAATTTATTAAAATTATTAAAGAAAAGTCAAAAAAGAAATTTACTTACCAGTCTTCATTGATCTTTTGTACGATGACCTTCTTGTCCCAGGATCATGAAGAATATTACCAAAACTGACTCTAAATCGCGAATTTATATTGAATTTAATTTTATTTAATCAGATTATTTTAAAAATAAATCAAACGTATTACCAACAAACACTGCTTTTACTTCAGATATATATATATATATATATATATCTATATATATATATATATATATATATATATCGGATTGCTTATGGAAGGTGATAAACGAAAATATGTTTCTCTGTGAACAAAGTGATAAATCTTTATTTGTTAATTAATGCTTAGTTGCTAATTAGTCTTACCTGTGAACAAAGAAACAACAATTAACGTTTATTATTCACAATGTTAAATTTTATTTCTATTATATTATAAATTTTCTTATAGCTCTCGTGTTACTTTTCTCTTCGACGTTCTATTTCCTACTGCCCGTTTCTCTTCCAAATCTTAACGGCTCGATTTGTAGGTCACAAAAGAATTTGTAAATAACAAAGGACAATGGAAGGGCGGATTATGAAACGCACGGCAAATCTACCTGAAGAAAGTATACTTTCTTTACATAGATATATATATATATATATATATATATATATATATATATATATATATATATACATATATATTTATATTTATATTTATCATATACGTATCTATTTTTTAAAGAAATGATTGGATGTGAGTAGGGGTTGATATCTAATTTAAGAAAAAGCACGTATATGATGGTGTCATAAAATGGAATGGAAAAGTTGTTCTAGAATTAATTTTAACGGATAGTAATCCAAAGTATATCGATGACACTTTAGTTTATGAATCTGTTCTCTGTTTATATGGTAGAAAAAAAACTGATGACAATGCCAGTTTATGGTAGAATAGTAGCTCGGCTGGGTATTACGGTTAGATATTATCATACGTATGTATGTAACCTTGATGTACATCATGTCAGAGAGAGTCAAATTGGATCAACCAATACGAGGTCGCATTATGAACAGGAGCTTTCGTCTCTTTCTCCTCTCCTTATATATATAAGGAGAGGAGTGTGTATATATTTACCCATATGATTTAATTACAAATGAAAATGTTATGAATATCAAAAATGTTTGTAGAGAAATCATGACAAATTGTTGGAAGGAACAAAGGAATGTAGGAAGAAGGAGAAAGAAAGAAGGAGTTTTTTAAAATTATATAAATATTTTAGAATTGATAAAGAAGGAAAAAAATAATAATAATCGTAAACAAACAAAATAGAACTGGTCAAATAAATTGAAGTTAAAGAAATAAAAAAAATAAATGGAAGTAATCGAACAAATGTTTAACATGATGTCTATTCTGAAGATTTAGTTCTCTTAAAAATAAATGGATAAAGTCGAATAATTTCCTTCCGTAAAGCTTCCCCTTGATTCAATTCCCCGCTTGGTTCAACGCATTTACGTGATGGTCTACGAACATGGGTATAAATATGGCGAAATTTAAACAAGTTTAGAAGATGCAATTGGCCGATAGGCAAAACTCGCGAAATTGAGAACCGCGAAGATTCGTTTTGGAAGAAACATTTGCAAGACATCTCTCTCTCTCTCTCTCTTTCTCTCTCTTGCTCACTCTCTTCCTTACACATACACTTTAATTTAACTTATACACCTATATATTTATGTATTAGAAATTATTTCAAGCAAAAATTATTTTTAATTGCTTAAAGCCATTTTATGAAAAATTCGCGGCTTTTTTCTATATTTTCTTTTCTCATTGTTTAATGTTCTTATCATTATAATCATCATCATTATTATTATTATTACTACTGTTATTTTTCACCTCAAAACGTGGTTTTCATTTTATCGAAATTTATACTTTTCAAAATTTCTTTCTTTTTCCCGATGATAAGCAAATTCGTCCAAAAAATTGTTTGTTGAAATTTCTATAAGTTTCAAATCGAAGGTAACATTAATAACAATAATAATAATAATAGTAAAAGCATGAACATGTAGGAAAATGACCAATACTACGTGAGGTTCATTTTAAGAACTCGTGTAAAATGCAAAACAGTCAATGAGAACAAATTAATTACAAATAAAGACTTTTCTAAAAGGAGTGGTGAGAGCAGAAGAGGGTCGTGCGGGACAGAGATTGTGCAAGCAATAACTGCACCTTTTGACATCTCAACCCTCTTCTTTTTCTGTCTCTTTCTCCCTCCCCCTCTCTATCTTTCTCTTTCTCCCTCTCCATCTCTTTGTTATCTCCACACATTTAAAGTACACGTAAATGTTAATATTATAAATTTAGTTTACAATACACGTAAATGTATTCGAGCAAAAATGAGAATAAGAAGAGTAATGTCTGTAAATTGGAAGTTCAAACTGCCGAGTACGTAGAGAGAGCGGAAGAAAGAGAGAGCGGAAGAAAGAGAGATAGATGAAGATAAATATAATATATTATTGTACTTGTGTATTTATATGTGAAATTAATAAAAAATAAAATATTAATTTGAAAAGTAAATGACAATTATATTTTTCATTAAAAAAATAAAACCATATATTGTCATACATACATGCATATATATATCAAAAAGGTTTCTATTATGATGTAATTATATACATTAAATAACGAAACGTAATGCTTCCTGTTCACACGATACCCATCAAAAAACAAGGCCAGAAGAGTTAATTGTATATTTTACGGTATAAAGAAATTGTGAAAATAATAAGATGGCTTACTTGAAAAAAAAAATAAAAAAGAAAGAAAAAGATATACGAGCATCGTTTAATATCATAACTCAAAATGTGAAGATGAACTTAAAAAATATTAAAAGTATGGCGTAATCTCTTATAACTTTTATCGGCATCTTCTTATTTTCTCTCTTTCTCTCTCTCTCTCTCTCTCTCTCTCTCTCTCTTTTTTCATTCTTTTCCTCTTTCTATCTTTCGTATAAGATAGAACGCATCGTCTCCCATTCATTTCTTCTCTTTTAGTCTTCTTCTTTTAGTACAATTATTTTCGTTCTTTTTCCTGTTTATATATATATATATAAATTTATATATATAGCTATCCATATATATAATATATATAAACACAAACAGTTGCAGAATAAAAGTAACAAAAGCGTTTTCAGACATTACTCAAAGTAAAAAAAAAGAACAAAAGAAAGAAAAAAGACAGAAAAGATTGAGAATCACTGCAACAAAATATATTCTTATCAACGTAGAAAAGAATGTAATTTCAACTGACCTACAAACGATTGGCAAAATAAAAGGATGCTATCCTTCATGACCGCTATATTATTCGTCACTCAGAAATAGAAACCATTGCCTTGGATCCATCTTATCCCTATAAGATAAAATTCACATATGATTATTAACAGTTTATATAACATTTTGTAAGTAAGAATAATAAAATACTAGAGAGAGAATCTTTGAACTATTTGAGTTGGCATAAAAAATGCCGTAAGATGGCCGAATGTCAATTGCCCAATAGACATGAAATGACCAACAAAGTACAATGTACAAAGCAAAATATCATTTCAAAGTAAATTTGTAGCTGACAGAAAAAACCTGTACCATGTACTAAATTTTCAGATGCATATGCAACTACTTTAAAAAATACTTCTGTTTCTCGAAGAGTGTACCACCTTGCACAATGATAGATTTGAATACATTTTGATTTCATTGCCACTTTTTTTATAATATAAGAAATTGCGTGAATATAAGCAAAAGTAAAAAATGTCTGCAACATTTAAATTCGGTTATGATTCAAGAGCATAAAGAAGAAACTATCCTCTATCTCTATTAGAAATATATAGTATGTACATACTTGTGCAATATATATGCATGCCAACATAAGTAATGGTCACAGAAGCATTCCCAAAATATTCCTTGTAGAAACATTTCCTTTACTTTATACTATTTTTGTCAATACATTTATGTATTATCGTGTCTTTTTGGGATCCATATGTTTAACATTCCTATGATCAGAGTACTCTACAAATAAATAATATAATGAATATAGTGACACAATATGTACTGATGGATCTATGCACAGGTGATAGAAACAATGGCAAAGGTCCTGTAAAATAGTGCCTTCAGGCAATTAACTAAGTTTATGTTACATAATATATTTAGGTAAATATCTGTCGGTCGATAAATAAATTTTATATCTATATTTATTCCTATGATCCAGTAAGAGTACTTTGTATACGTCTCAAGTAGCTTGAAGACTAAATCAACTTACAGCTATAAATACTTTTTATCAATGTTTTCATACTTACTGATAAAGAAATAAATAACTGTGGATATAAATATTCCAAAAAGTCTTTCCATTGTGATTACGGCCTATCACTATTTTTTGTTGCCTTATTACTTTGTTTAATTGCTTCACATTTAATTGCTTCTTTCATATTTACCTTCAATATATTAACTGGACCTGTTCATAATGTCCTTCAACCATCTTTGTAAATATTTGATAGAATCTTTTGCTTCTTGTATTCCTGTTTAATAGATAACCTTAACGTGGCGTTGAAATCTTTTTTAAATTCAACGACGACATTACCTTTTCCTTTGGATGGATTAATTAGTAACGATTTCCTGAAAAAAACGACCTACGGTTTTTATATTTATAATCTTTAATGATGATCAATATTAGCAATAATATACAAAGAAAATGACTGGTAGAAAAAAAAATATATTGTAAGGTTAAATAACAAATTTTACTAAAGTTATTTATAGTAATTTAAAAAAGAACAATTACCTTGCAGTTAATAGAAAAATAGTGTGTTGTTTATATCGAATAATTTGCAACAAACACATTATGAATAAAATATCATTTTATGATATATATGTAGATAGTATGGTTATGCAAATGATTTTTTATAAATTGGTATTGGCTTAACATTTTTGTTATACATAACGAAAGTATATCGCTTGAAAAAATTATGATCACACGCAATCTATTTTTTAAATAAGCATTAAATATAATGTTAAGCTAACTTAACCTTAAACGTTTAGTGACAACAGCGCCACTATTTCATCATGTTTGCATTTATAGAATACATTGTTATAGAGCTTGGAGAGTGTAAAATAAGGGTTAGAAAAAATTTTCTAATTACCTATAATTAACGAGACAATGAAGCTCGGTTGCAACAAAGTAACACAAAGTTATACAAACTGATTAATTCACTGTTAGGAAGAAGACTAATTGGGTCGTCGCTCATTATATCATCTGTGCAATGGACCTCGCAAAGCTTGTAATTTTTTCATCTATTATATTAAAATATCGAAACATTAAAAATATGATACAGAAATTTAAAAATTGTCTAAACGGATACCTTGTTATTCCAAACTAAATGAGAAAATTAATCAATTCAATTTGAAATCTGTAGAAATAAAGCTCCTAAACAAAGATACAATTTGTAAAGAAAATGTTAAAGCGTCCGCATAAAATTATTTTCCATACGAATATCTTCTATTCTCGAAGTTGTTACGACAAAAGTATTAATTTTGAACCTTTTACGTTTAGATATTTGTATATGTGTGTATATATATATTTTCTCTTTTTCGAAAGTCGAACATTTCCCATTTAATTATTACTATAATTGTAAATGACCTATTATTCAATATTTATAAATAAAAACTCGACAAAGTACTATACTTCCCTAAATACTTGTAGAAACGTATTAGAGATGTGCATAAATAGAGAAATACGTAAATAGATAAATCATTACAATTACTAGATTTATTAATTATTCATTATTTCGCGCGTAATATATAAAGCATAAGGATGTTCTGCATACGCGTTTACTCATGTGTGAGTCTATTTTATATTTCTATATTTATATTAAAATTTAATTAGAAAAGAAAATTTTTGTTTATATTTAAAATTTGTATTAATTACATTTGATACTTTCACACATTTTTATTATATGTTCTTATTGTTTTTAACTAAATAATTATAATAATAATATTTGCATTGACTCACGTTGTATCCGCAATAATGTGACGTAATCGAATTATAGGAGTTATTTCAGTTCCGTATTAATGGTCCCTTCGTCATCTTGGACTTTTTAACTCCGTTTACACGGTGTTTTGTCGCTTCGCATAATTACAGATAATTAGTAGACTTTTTCTAACGTACACTCTCTTTCAATATATCTATCGATAACAGCGTGATTTTTACAGGACCGCGTTCGCAAGTCGGCACGTACTTATGCGTATTCTATTTTCTAGCTTTATTTTCATAACATTGATATTTTTTTCTGATATTGATGCTTTTACACTACTTTCTAATCAATAATTTTGTGTTTATAATTTTGATCGATTGATATCTTGTATTACATTCAATATTCATATATACTTATATTTATACTTGTATATATAATATATGAAGTAGAAGCAGTGTTTATTCGTAATACGTTTGATTTCCTTTTATATCTCAAAATAATCTGATTAAATAAAATTAAATTCAATATAAATAAGCGATGTAGAGTTTATGCTAGTATATATTCTTTAAGATCTTGGGATAGAAAGCTCGTACAAAGGATTAATAAAGATTCCGGTAAGAAAATTTCTTTTTATATTTTTCTTTAATAATTTTAATAATTTTTTATTATATAACAATGATACTAATAATTTCGTTTCCTCTTTTCAGGTTCAATAAAAGAAGAATAATTTGTCATCCTTTTGAGGCAGGATGCTCATCGTGCAACGAATCAACAAAGTCTACAATAAGTAAATTTCTTTTCTAAACATTTCCTTCATAATTCAAAAAAAACTCATTATAAAGATCATACTAATAACTTTGTTTTTCTTTCTTTTTTCAGATAATCAATGCAATCATGCGGGTGATAATGAATCGAGTGTTGTACCGTTTAAGTAATTTAACAATCATGAATTAGAAGGATCCTTTGCTCGTTACTTGAATTTCGTCCACGTTTAGCAATTTAAGTATTAGTATCATATGCACTTAAATCGACCGCGATCAATGCAATCAGTCATAGAGTTATGATTTGTTCCTATAAAGTTTAAAATTATTTTTCTTTTTATACTGTATTACACTATTCGCGTAGTAGAGTCAGTGCATCGAAGAAAATGATCAAAAAATAAATACATTTTCTTCTATAAGAAGAATATTGGTAAGTAAATTTTTTAATTTCATACCTAATAATTTCACAATTTTTTTATTAATATAGATTTAATAAAAATTTGTTTGTCTTTTTACTGATCCCTATTACGATTTTGTCTTATCAATGACGATGAGCTATTTTATTTTTAAGTTACTTATATATCGAACTACATTGTTTTTGACTTCCTATGGATCATAGCTGTTCAATTTTGACTTATTTCGCGGACAAATGTTTTAAAGCTAACGTAGAACTTGTAGCAGAAAACGAACGAATTTAAAATCCCTCCAACACTCAATTATGCCGAGGATGAAAGGTCCGAATCAGCACAAATTACTGTTTGTAATATTTTAAATAAGTTATTGACGAGCATGACTATTCCTCTTTTGGTAATTTCTATTTTGCTTGGTATTTTTTAGGAAAGTTGTTTTGTTTTCGCATGATAGACAATTAGAGAAGGTGACTTCTCTGTCACTATCCAGTATTATGATCAAGATAAAATACAAATACAATACAAATGGACGTACATAAGTAATATTATTTTCTTGTTGATTATACCATCGAAAATTTAATTTTAGGGTAATTATCATTATTAAATAAACCGCAATTATTAATTCCTTTTTATTTCGTGCTGTTTATTTGTTTATTTCATTTAGTTTTTATTAATAAAAATTCAAGTAACCTCCTTTCATTTACTTAGTATACGTATACTTTCAAGGAGCTTTTTTTATTATAATAATGATACTAGTAATATTGCTTTCGCTTTATATCAGATCTTATCTCTTTTGTGCTGTGAAGCTCTTCGAAATTTGAGACGAAGGAGAACCTCCAGTATTGATTTTAATATTATATAGAGTTGTATGTCATATGTTTTATGTTTGTGAAATAGCGATTGCCCGCTTCTTTGTATGCGTAAATAAATGATGCTCAGATTTTTAGAATATTTCCAAATGCAAAGAAATGCGTTTCACGACGCTCGCACGGAGAAGTAACTTACTCGGTCATTTTAATGAGCTTTGAGCAAATGATTCTATGACAAAAATAATTAAGTCTATACATGAACGACTTTATACATTAAAACACTATAGGTTCTGCAAACAGTTTATAGCACATTTGTAAGTATCTTGATTCGTAATTCAGGAATCGTAGGTATTCGAGGCTAGTTGATTCCAGTGATTTCGTTTTATTGTATCAATGTAAACGAAAATAATGAATTAATTTATTCTTTTTTCTTTATATGATAATTTAGTAAGGTTTTACTATACCATCTCTTATATTTATTTTCTCCACTTTTGACTGTGCTAGATAAGATATAGCAGTAGCACAATTTTGTTCGATGACAAATGCATATAAAGTATGTACATTTGTCGATTATTATTTCAAAGTAAATAATTAGCGGGTATACATATTATATATTATTTTTAATAAAGATCAAAACACTAATTCATTTCTACATTATCTATGTGATTTTTCTCTCAGCGCTATTTTTTTATGATTTCCTCTTTAGAAGTCCACTTAACACTAAACCTACCGACATTTCATATATACCTAATCCTACTATGAGCGATCAAATGACCGTTTCAAAAAAAGATAATTATCTTAATATACAAAGAGATTTTATCCAACTGGATAGTGAACAAAATATTTTTTTTCTAGTTAGAAAAATTTTATTTACATTTATACATTTTCAGCACATTTTTTACAAATTACAGTATTTTGTATCGCACATTTTCCGCATACGTATTTTTTACATTTTATACAAATTTTGTTAGTTTTATTGACTTTACAATATCTTATTTGACAAGCTTTCCATCCAGATGAATCTATAGCTGTATTTGTTATTGTTTCTAATGAACATTATTTGCTTAACTATCTCTGCTTTTGATGTTCGCTCCCAAGCTCTTCTGCCAATTGAAATAAAATTTCTTGCCTCGATATTCCTTCACCCATCGTTTCTTTGTATTACATCCAAGCATTTATCTCGGCTAAATCTAAGATATTGAAAAATACCTGTAAAGGCCATCTTTAACATTTAGATTTGACACAATATTTTCTGGCCATTTAATCGGTTACATCTACATTTTTATTGTGAATTTTGTGCTATTGTAAAATCTGATTGTCTCTGGTATACGGATGTCACTTATCCCAATTTTAACGAATGAATGCATTGAACTAAGTATTAATACTTTTTTATAGTGTTTAGCTTTGTAAATTGTTAGAATAAAATCATTCGATTTGTATAATATTGTTGAGAAGCGTGTCACACTATCCTTTGCCTGTTTCGCTAATTTTGGTAGCTCTCTTTTATTTCTGCAAATAATTCCAACAAGTGTAGTTTTTTTTGCTTTAAGTTTACTCGCTGATGACAAGCTTGTAAAAAAATTGTCAGTTATAATTTCTCCAATGACTTGTATATGGTTCTGCTAATTTAAAAGTTACGAACTCCCCAAATTGGACCGATGATTCTCCCCCTTCCTCTTTTCTATATATATATATGTAAAGAAAATATACTTTCTTCAGGTAGATTTGCCGCGCGTCTCATAGTCCGCCCTTCCATTGTCCTTTATTATTTACAATTTCTTTTGTGACCTACAAATCGAGTCGTTAAGATTTGGGAGAGAAACGGGCAGTATGAAATATAACATAGAAGAGAAAAGCAAACACGAGAGCTAGAAGA